CGTGGCCTTGGTGTTATCAGCACCGCACTCTACCGAGTGAGCCACGGGCCGGCCTCAAAGTTTTCTTGACTACGCTTCGACGACAAAGTCGAATGGAACACCAAGCGTTCCTTTATGACAGGACCAGCCACTGAAACGAAGCAGCCAGCACTTAACTGTAGAGGAAACACGAACGTTCAACACTCCAAGGTAAGACTGTAGAAAGTACTGTGCTTGGTCCTAACATCTGTCCCTAAGACTCCATCTGTGTAAAACAGACACGCACAGCTGACACAAGGCCCCTCCTACATGTGAACATTTGCCACTTGAGCAAACATTCAAGCGGGTGTGTGAGGAACCTGGATGTGTTTGAGTGTTACTAAGTGGAGAGAAGGGGAGGAAAGGGCCCTGCTCACACCAGAAAACCAGATGGGGGTAGAGGTGGGAGGGGAGTGCGTGCTAACTTTCACTCCCGTAGAACTAAAAAAATGAGTTCAGGTGTTTTCATCCTGAGACGGAATCAGCATGATCAATAACTCGGAGAAACTAACTTCATCCAAGAGAGGGTTACTGTGCAGCTTTAAAACAGTTACCATCTTACGCAACCTTTCTCTGTCCCGTTACAGAATTAGAGACATAAAGCCACGAACAGCTAAAAAGGCAGCACCTATAAAAATCATTCTATAGGACAGTGCTTCTCAAAGTACGTAACAGTCCCCTGGACAGCCTGTTAAAATGCAGATGCTGATTCAGTGGGCATCGGGTGGGCCTGGAATTATGCATTCTAACAAGCTCCCCGGGGCGGCCAGTGCTGCTGGTCTAAGGACCGCACTTAGAATAGCAAGAGTTTAGAGTAGTTTTCAGGGGGTAAATTTGTTCAAATTTCCTACTTGAAGTCAATCCAGCAATTGAATCTTACACTACACGATCCTATGCTGTGAGGTGTAACAGGATGGGAGACGGTTTACCGCTCACTGTATCGGGGGAAGAAAACTTATAGCATTAAGTTGGTGACCAGAGGAGCTTCCCAGCAGAATAGTTTGCTCACCTGGTGGAATAAGTCACCCCCAACAGATGCACGTGTCAGCATCCGTGCCCACGTGGCTGTTCACAGCAAGGATGGGCTCTGGCTACAGGTGAGTCCCAGGTAGTTGGCAAGCCTTACAGCCTGGGAACTGGGGAGAAATGACCCTGAGCAAACAGAAATGTTTCCTGTGGCCCACTCAGTCTCTCCCTAAATACCTGTTAGACCAGTGTTTCCTGAAACTGGATGACATGAAGAATGACAGGGGCTTGTCAAAAATCCATCTATCTGTCCATCCTGCAACAGATATTTACTGAGCCCCAACTATGCACTAAGCACTGTGCTGGGCTCTGGGGACACCATAGGGAGTGAAGGGGTCAACAGTGCATACCCTCAAGGAGATTGCATCCTAGAGGGGAAATGAGATACAACACATAACAGGATATGTGGTGATGAGTGCTGTGGAGGAAAACAGATCAGGGAAGGAGGCTACAGAAGGGTATCCTGGCTGGGGCAAGCGAAAAGGGTAACATTTTCAATAGAGCAACCAGGGAAGGTTTCACTGAGAAGGCAACGATACAACACATAACAGGATATGTGGTGATGAGTGCTGTGGAGGAAAACAGATCAGGGAAGGAAGCTACAGAAGGGTATCCTGGCTGGGGCAAGCGAAAAGGGTAACATTTTCAATAGAGCAACCAGGGAAGGTTTCACTGAGAAGGCAACGTGTGAGCTGAGCGCTAGAGGAGGGGAGCAGAGGTGCAAGCTGCGTGGACACGAGGACAGGGCTCTGCAGGAGGGAACAGCAGGTGCAGCCGCTGCGAGGGGAGCTCCTGCTGCCTCCTCAACAGTGTGGAGGCCAATCTGGGTGAATAAACGTGGAGCAGTATGAAGAGAACTGAAATCAAAGTGACAACAAGAACCAACTCGCTTGGCCCTGTAGCTAGCCCATGTCCACACAGTGGCCTCTTCTCTTCGGGAACAGAGGTATCTGGAGGGTTCTACGGAGAGGACGATATCTGACAGTTAGCAATCTGCAAACCCCTCCTTTTGGTAATTCTCATGATCTGGCAAACATGGGAAACAACCCATTAGAAAATGGAGCCTGGCAAAAACATGGGTCTGGGGCTGCCCAGTCGCCACAAATCACAAAGCACTGCGGGAGTCTCATCTCCAGAACGCAGCAAAAAGCAAGAGCCCACAGACAATGTAGGACTCTGATTTTCCAGCTATGAGAAATATCAGAGTTGACAACTGTTCTCCAGAGGCAAATCTACAATTCAGTAGCAGCTCAAAGTGTAACTTCCCCTGAAAGCGGCCTCAGAGACCAAGAAACTAAACTAGCTTCACGCTCATCTTCAGAATGTGAACAGTAAATCCACGTTAAGGTGTGAAGACAGTCAAAAACCACCACCTTATTCTCCTGCATTCCATGGCCAAACACATTTCTTACACCTGCCCCACATACAGTAAGTGTTCAATATCTACTGAAAGAGTGAAGGGGCACTTTTAAACCTCTCCACAAAAAGCTGACTTCATGAGCTGAGCGGGTGCCCCGTAACCATGTTCTGGAAGCCTTCCACTCTCCTCGGCTCCCTGTAAGATGCCAGACACCATAATTCTCTCAAATATTCACTCAGCAAGAAGTTCCAGGTCACTGGAAGTTGAAGAGGAGATAATACTAAATGTCCTAAGAAGATTGTTCATGTCTTTATAAACAGTTTAATTCATTTATCCCTCAAGAGTTTATCAGACCAACTCATGGTTTGAAAAGGCAAGAGCACATGAGACTGTAACGCAGCGGCCCGCCCGCTGGCCCTCTCCCATTCCCACTG